AAGTATGACAAAACCCTCAACTTGTCATAGGTTTTATAAAATTTTAACAATAAATGCGATAGTTATAAACAAATGAAAAAATGGGCACTTTTCTTGTTTTTTTGCAATAACTTTTTTATTTATTAACCGATATTAATTTAACAAGTCTCATTTTGTAGATAATTTTACTCCCTACAAGCTGTCCGTGAGTCACTTTTCGCTAAAATTGATGGTTTTCCCTGCAAAGTGAAAAAACTGTTTTCCTCACTTATTTGTTTAAATAGAAAAGTTAGCTAATAAAAGTTTTTGACTCACGAGACGAGAGATGTCTTGTATTATGTTCCTTTAGACAATTTTACAATAATATAGCGGATAGGACTTTTTTCGAGTTTCTCTTTTATTTTCGCTAATTTTCCTGGTGTATAGGTAATGTTCCTGGCGTACCTAGAAGAGTTGCCGTGTCATTCTATTTTCTTATTCGCTAATGCCACAAATAAATAATTTCCGTTGTTGCAGATCTTCAGTCGGTGCCGTCGCTGACGGAGTTGGCAGCGAAGTGCGTGGCCTCCCACATCCCCTTCGAGCTGGTGGAGCACGTGTACCCCCCAGTACCGGAACAGCTTCAGCTGAGGATCGCCTTCTGGAGCTTCCCCGACAATGAGGAGGACATCAGGCTGTACTCCTGCCTGGCCAACGGGTCGGCCGACGAGTTCTCCAGGGGCGAGAACCTGCACCGGAACCACATGGTGAAGGATCCGCTCCAGATAGGTAAAAAAAGAAAAAAAAATGAAGGGGCAAAAGTCTTATCTTTGAGGGTCTAAATTTTGTTTCTTTCTTTTACCCAAGTCCTTATTCAAGGCGAATCTTACATGTGTGCACATATTTTTAATTTTGACTGGGATTCGGTTCTTTTTGGGACACCCTGTATAACTGGAGTTCACAAGATATGAGACTTTGGTCAATTTTTTATAAAACCTAATACATGATAAAACGGTTTTATTGTCCTTTTTCTATTAAATTTATGTGCTTATACATATGAAAAAGACTTGAAAAAACTGCTAACCTATGTAAAAAATATTTATTAAACGTAGCTCAAAACGTACATTTCCATCCATTCCAAAAGGCGTTTAATAATTTGCATAATTAAACAATTTCCTTTAATATGCAAATGTTTTTGTCATTTTCTAATTTTGGTAATTTCAGTTTTATTTTAATCAAGTACTAAGGTATAATTAATTACTTTTATCCGGTGATTTTTTTTTCTTAACAAATATAAATTACTATTCAGAATCTGGAAAGCCAAAAACTGTTATCTATAATTAGCTTGATTCCTTAATATTAATTCGCATGGGTTTAAAAAAATTAAAATTCCAGGTAACGAACCTCCGTTTACTTATAATAATTGTTAATATTTATAAACGGGAATATTTTAATAACTACCAGCTGATCATACATATTTATAGATGGTAACAACTGTTTTTTAACTTTTTTTTAAATAAATTTGAATAAATGAATCCTAATATAGTTTGCTTAATCCTATTGGCAACAAATGTTGTCGATACGTACTTAAGAAAGCAATTAAGTCAACTTGTTTTGATATAATGCGGATAATTGTACATTGCATATGGTAACGGGAGAAAGTTTTTCATTCAAGAAAGACGTAGAAACTCGAGGAAAATATACAGACTTCTTCGGTAGCTTCAAAGCCGTAAAAACTTATTGAACTTTTTTGTATTACCCTCACCTAACTTTTTAATGTTTAATGAGACTAACTTTTACTGGGAATATATTTAGAAACGGTTACTACATCGCGAACCGTCCTAATATGGATTAAAATGAGAAGATGGGAAAGTCAAATCGGTTCAGAGAAAGGAAATCTTGTGACAATCATGCAAACTTGGACATTTCAAAAGGAAAACATTGCGATTGATTCTGTATTTTTTTATCGTGACTATGCGTTGAAATACTATAACGGAATTAATGTTTATAAGTAAAACAGTTATATATTAAAGTTAAAAGAAAATACCGGCTGTTCTAAGGAAATATTGATTGATGGATATAACAATGTGTACATTACACAGAATATTTTTAGCGTTGACAAGCTTCAGTTAAGATTTATAAATAAGGTTTAAGGTGTAACACATGGAATTTCCGCTTTATCAAAAAACAGAATATATTTGTTTTAGTAAAGTTTTAAGTTGAATGTCAGATCCGGAGATAATACTTGGAAAATTATAGAATTTGTTTCCAATTGGTACATAACTGTGATTCATTCAATATCCGTACCTTACTATGTTGCCTACTATTTTATTTAAAGATGATTACTATACAGGGTGGTCTTTAAATACGTTCCAATAATAAACCGAGTGATTCTTTAGCTTTAGACTATTTCAAAGGAAACCTTCCTATGAACATATTCCTAAAAAGCCTAGTTACAGAGATACAGGGTGGTGGTGGGCCAGATATAACCTACAAAGTGTATTATTTGTTAATTTTCAATGCTGTTGACGTCAAGAATTTCTTTTTGTTTTTGTACCCTCTCCCCGTGTAACGAGATTTTCTTAAACCCCGTACTTGCATACAATCGGTGGAAACATTAGGCTTTTTTTCGCGACTGAATATTGGTGGATATCTGACTTGTAGTCACTATTTCCATCTCTTTTGATCTTAGTTGTCATATGATAGTTTAAATCTCTTCACTCACTCATACTACACATACCACAACATACAACTTCACTCGCGAAAAAAAGCCTATTGTCGGCCGACTATATTTTTCTTCTGGCTCTTGAGTCGGCCGATTTTGAAGCAACTCAACAACAACATGGGGCGGCATTTTATCAAAGGAATCGAGTTGCTTGTTTTTCGTTTTAAATGTAAAACATCGGCAGGTCTGTATGGGTTTTAGAATTAGATACATCGTTTTAACTGTCAAACGGGATATTTGATTGAAATTTGAGGTTAGGTTGTGAATCAATGTTTACTTTAAAATAAAAGACGTTGCAAAATGTGGACAACTGAAAACGCGTTGAATTTAATAGAAAATTTAAAACAAGTGCCTGCTCTATGGAATGTCTCTTGTTCTTCGTAACAAGAAAATGGACGAAACAGTACGTTTAGCAGAAGAATTTTTTACTACTCCAGAAGAAATAACTAATAATTATTTTTTATAATTAAGTATGCCGCAGAAACACTCGCTGCTATTATTAAATCATCATTTGATGCCATTTTTACCAAAGTTGCAACTTTAAATGCGGACGAGATACATTTGTGTATATTGATCGGCCGAATATTGGTGAAAAAAATACTCAGTCGGCCGACAATGTTTCAACCGATTGTATCCAAAACTGTATGGGGCATTAGGGACAAAAATTGCAAAATACCAAAGTCCCTAGATCGATCAAATACCGCATCGTTGTTTTTGTTTGCCCCAACGGTTTGACAGTTTATTCTGTACTAAAAAGAATAATAACTCGAAAATGGCTCGGTTTTTTAATAAAATTGAAACGATTTTATTAAACTGAAATGCCAATAAAAGATTTAGTAACGTCGAAATTCTAAAGTGTTTAGAGACTTTGTCTCACAATGTCTCGGCTACTTGTCAACAACTTGTTTCATTAATTTGCGACAAATATCGAGAGTTTTGAGGTATGTTTTTGGGTAGGTGTGAAATTTTTAAAAACTTAATGCTCGTATCTCGAAATCTGAGCCGTTTAGGAAAACATATTTTTAAGCGATCTAAAAATCACTCCCCCCCTTTATCGGAACCGTACTCTGTATAGGAAATAGCTAGAAAAGCCCTTTGGACAAACAATGCCAAACTGATCTTAACGAAGTAAATTGGGCTCCCGCGCTCGTGATTTATAGATGTTTGTGAAAAAAACTAGAAGTAGAGTATGAAACTCCCGACTCTGATTTTCTTGAATTATCCATCTCTGTCCGGGATAACTTCCAATCCAGCGGCCACTTGAATAAAATATTAGGCGAGGATCGAGATTTGCAGCCGCCGGGCGGCAACTTGTCCGTACCGAAGCCTCTCCCGGTTGCGAAAAGGGAGAAGCCAATTTTTTTTTCCTGTGCCTTGTTCCAGGTTTCCACCTGTCGGCGAGCGTCCAGCAAACGCCGCGCGGCACCCATAACGTTGCCGTGACCTTCGACCGACGCCGCATCTCTTCGTGCAATTGCACCTGCACCTCCACCGCCTACTGGTGCTCGCACGTCGTCGCCGTTTGCCTCACTCGCATCCACTGGGTGAGTAGGATAACCGTGCCTGTGGAGCTGGTCTCCCACCGGGAGGCTAACTTCAACCTCCAAACTCCCAATCCCCCTCAACCATCCCCAATAAGACATTTATTTATTTTTTCCATGTACTTTGTTAGTTTTCTAAGGCTTTGTAACTTTTAGGATCGTTCTCTACTGCAGAAGATTTATAAAATCATCAAATTTCTTTAATTGTAACAAAATTAGAAGTAGTTACAATTTATGACCTTTTTTTTAACTTGAAAAATGTCATAACAGAACTTTTCCTATTTGCACAAGAACTGTTTCTTTTCAATATTATTCAAAATTGAAAAAATTGATTAAATCCAATATCTCCACAACTAGAATGGAGGATTGCTGCTATTTTCTACAGAATTCTTTTTTTATATTCTACCGTTGTCTATATTATTCTAATAAATACCGTATATGGGGGCTGTGTGAAGTCAGCCCTCATATTTTCAAAAATAAACTATTACTTAAATTTCTAAAGCATTTTATAACAATTCATTAAAAATGACCATTGTAATTATTTTTAAACTGAAACACTGGTGAGGTCAACTTCACAGAAGAAAACCGATCTGTCTATACAGGGTGTCTCATAATTAGCTGCCAACCCTGAACAGGCCGATTCTGTTATCGAAGCTAAGTAAAAAAGTTCATATGAACATGGGTCCGGAAATGCTTCCTAAGGGCACAGGGACCCATTTTGAAGAGGGAGGAATGGAAATCATTTTTTTGCAATATCTCTCAATCGCGTTGTGATAAATGAATGAAATTTGGTATACACAGCTAAATTTTGATGAGCAATTTGATGGACTAATCCATTTATTTCCACAAGGTCCATTGGGGTGGGTACGGGGGGGCCCTTGGTACTTTGCGTGTGTAACTTTTTCATCTTTGACTTTTTAACAAATTGGACAGCAAATTCCGTTTTCCCGAACTGTTTTACGTTAAAAAGGTACTCTTGTTTCAAATCGTTATCTTTAACGGTTTCTGAGAAAATCGCTCTTGAATTAATCCCACTTTGGTCAATTTCATAGTAATTTAAACAAAATAATCAAGGTATTCTTATGTCAAAGTATTGTCAACCCGATTGCCAATTTAATAGTTCTAAGCGAAAAAAATGGAAGAGTTTACGGGACAAGAGTTAGTTGATATGATATTTATTTATGGCTTTTGCGATGGTAATGCTGCAGCGGCAGAACGCGAGTACGGGAGAAGGTTTCCAAACCGAAGGCTGCCATCAAGGAGGACATTCCCTACGGTATTCCGCAACTTAGCTGCAACCGCCACTTTTCGAAAGGCACCGGGTCAAGGACGTCCCAGGATTAATAGGGAAGCGGAGGTCCTTGACGCTATTGAACAAGATCCTACGACTAGCATACGGAACATTTCAAGGCAAATAAATGTTCCTCGGCCAACGGTACTACATATCTTAAAGATTTCCTTAACAGAATTGATTAGATGTGCTACTAACATTTCAGGTTGGAAGAATATTAAAGCGACAAGGTCTACATGCCTATCACTATCGACGTGTACATGGCTTGATACCAGAAGATTTTGCGCCACGTATGCAATTTTGTCGCTGGATTTTGTCGCTGGACAACGAGCAAGCTTCCAAAATTTTGTGGTGTGACGAAGCTACTTTTACCCGAAATGGAAAATTAAATTTTCATAATTCTCATTATTGGGAAGAAGAGAACCCACATGTTGTTCGGAGAACAAACTTCCAGCAACGGTTTTCCATAAATTTATGGGCGGGAATAATTCACGACACTCTGATTGGACCTATTGAAATTCCACAACGTCTCAATTCAAATCTTTATTTAAACTTACTTCAAGAAAATCTTCCCCAAATTCTCGATGATCTGCCTCTAAATTTACGACGTAACATGTTTTTTCAACACGATGGAGCCCCGGCACATAGTGGTCGCAATGTTCTAAATTTCCTAAACGAAAATTTCGCTGGACGGTGGATAGGGAGGCACGGACCGGTAGCTTGGCCGCCGCGTTCTCCCGACCTAACCCCGCTGGACTTCTTTTTCTGGGGATATCTAAATCAAAAAGTTTACGCCACCGAAGTCGATACCCGTGAGGAATTGCTGCAGCGTATCAATGATGCAGCCAATGAAATTCGTCAAAACCGTTTTAGCATCTTAATAGCTTCGAGAAGTGTTACACGTAGGGCAAGACTTTGTATCAGAGAAGGTGGAGGGTTTTTTGAACAGTTTTTAAAATAGCTTGTTGTCTGTTATCAAAATTAAGTTTCCATCTTATGATCCCTTCGAAAAGTGACGGTTGCAGCTAAATTGCGGAATACAGTGAGGAATGTCCTCCTTGATGTCAGCCTTCTGTTTGGAAACCTTCTGCCGTACTCGCGTTCTGCCGCGCAGCATTACCATCGCAAAAGCCATAAACAAACCATCATATCATAATTGTTCTACATCAATAATGTGTATTACTGATTACGTATTAAAATATTATTATTTTTTGTTTAAATTACTATGAAATTGACCAAAGTGGGATTAATTCAAGAGCGATTTTCTCAGAAACCGTTAAAGATAACGATTTGAAACAAGAGTATCTTTTTAACGTAAAAAAGTTCGGGAAAACGGAATTTGCTGTCCAATTTGTTAAAAAGTCAAAGAAGAAAAAGTTACACACGCAAAGTACCAAGGGCCCCCCCGTACCCACCCTAATGGACTTTGTCGAAATAAATGGATTAGTCCATCAAAATTCTCATCAAAATTTAGCTGTGTATGCCAAATTTCATTCATTTATCACAACGCTATTGAGAGATATTGCAAAAAAATGATTTCCATTCCCCCCTCTTCAATGGGACCCTGTGCCCTTAGGAAGCATTTCCGGACCCATGTTCATATGAACTTTTTTACTTAGTTTTGATCATAGAATCGGCCTGTTCAGGGTTGGCAGCTAATTATGAGACACCCTGTATAATACCTACTCGTTAATACTCCAAATAATCCTTACAGCCTCACCTAGTGACTCTTCGAGCTCCAGTTTCCGAATCGCTGTCCCGTCTGCAGCGCGACCAGCTCCAGAAGTTTGCCCAGTACCTTATCAGCGAATTACCTCAACAAATCCTACCGACTGCTCAAAGACTATTGGATGAATTATTGGGATCTCAGCCTTCGGCAATCAATTCAGTGTGCGGCGCTCCCGATCCGACTGCGGGTGCCTCGGCCAATGACCAGACTTCCTGGTACCTCGACGAGAAGACCCTCCATGACAACATCAAGAAGATTCTGATCAAGTTCTGCGTTCCAGCACCCATCGTTTTCAGGTATCGTCCTTGTTCAGTAACCAATAATAATAATTCTCATTTTTTTTCACTGCACTATTTACAGCGATTGACATAACTTTTGACAGTGAAATAAGTACCTAATTAGATAATTGGTATTGTTTCCTTGATGGACATTAACACATTAATAAGACTTATTGGAATAACGAAAATATATAAATTATATTCTCTCCCACTTGTATGCTTATGACAAGCACTGACACGTTTCAGCTGGAAACTGACAAGGCAGGATTTCAAGAAGTTAAACTATGCAGCCTCATTCGTCCCTCTTTTTGTACACAAGAAGCACGAATAAAAATAGAGCAGGCTAAACATATTGTAAGAACATCAAAGTTTCTACCCAAAGAATACATAAAATAATTTTTATCAAATTAAGAAATATAGTCGAAGCATTCTGTCACGGATTAATGTTAAATTTGCAGAAATTATTACCTGGACAAAAAAAATATGACCGTATAGAAAATAAAATTTTAAATTGAGTTTCTTGTTCTTTAAATTCGATCCAAAACGGATAACATGGTTAAAAACTTTAAAACGGTTTTTCTAAAATAACTAAAAAAAATAGCACCAATGAAAAATTTTAAATGAGAAAGTTGTAGGTTTTAAAAAGATCTATCGACTGATTTTTTGTAAGTATGGATTGCTTTGTTACTTTTCGAGATATATCGAAAAAACCGTTAAAAATCTTCTCTTTTCTCTTCTTCTATAACTCGTTTACATTTACGTGCCCATATTTGCTATTTACTGCAAACATAGCCCGCGGCAAGCCAAAAAAGCACATTTTTGAAAAATTTAAAAATATTAATTATTTTTCGATATATCAATTTTTTGAAGAAAAAGGCGTTCTCGAAAATTGGCTAGATCTTCTCAGTGGATATACCTACAGTAACGATTTTCGGTTTTATTTTCTTCGTAAAGAGTTATATTGTCATGCTGTTAAAAAATGTTGACGATTTTATTAATTTTAAGGATCAAAAAATGACTGAAAAAGTTGCACTTTTTTTGGGAATGTTATTTTCAAATAACTATTTCAATTTCCATTTTATGAAAATGACTTTTAAAGAAAGAAACTGCTGACATTTTTTCACGAATTAAAAAAAAAATGTTTTTCAACGACCTTCTGGAGATAATTTTTTTATTTAAAAAAATTTTGAGGACGCAATTAACATTTTCCAGCGATGCGCTTGATGGAGGTTAATATTGAATACTTATATTTTCAAAAAAAAAAAATAGTAGGATATGTTTACTTGACTTTTAGTATTAGTAATTGAGTAATAAACTGAAGCGTGCAAGCGCCGAGTGCGTCAGCTGGACCGGATGGAGAAGTAGGGGAAGTGGCGCGCGCTCGCTCTGAAAACTGATGACGTGAGTCTAAATGACTCGCACTTGCAAAATCTTTGATATCTCGGCTTCTGGACCACATACAAAAATTCTTTTGTACTTAATCTGGAGTAGCTAGCTAAACACGAATATTATAGTCATTTTCGCCTTAGAAGCAAAATAGTCCCATAAATGTTTAGTTTTTATTTAACTTCTATATATATTTTTTTTTATTATACTTTTTCACGAAAATATGGACGATGAACAAGAAAATGAATCAAAACACAATCCGACAAAGAAAAGAAGAATTTCATTTGATAAATAATTTTATCTATATAGGACACTTGTTTGTTTTGCTTCTAAGGCTAAAATGACTATAATATTCGTGTACCCCAGATTAAGTGTAAAAGAATTTTTGTACTTGGTCCAGAAGCCGAGATATCAAAGATTTTGCAAGCGCGAGCCATTTAGACTCCACGTCATCAGTTTTCAGAGCGAGCGCGCGCCGCTTCCCCCTACTTCTCCGTCCGGGCGTCCGGTCCAACTGACGCACTCTTCGGTTTATTACTCAATTACTAATACTAAAAATCAAGTAAACATATCCCACTATTTTTTTTTTAAATATAAGTATTCAATATTAACATCCATCAAGAGCATCGCTGTAAAATGTTAATTGCGTTCTTAAAATTTTTTTTAAATAAAAAAAATTATCTCGGCTCCAGAAGGTCGTAGAAAAACATTTTTTTTATTAATTCGTGAAAAAATGTCAGCAGTTTCTGTCTTTAAAAGTCATTTTCATAAAATAAAAATTGAAATAGTAATTTGAAAAAAACATTCCCAAAAAAAGTGCAACTTCTTCAGTCATTTTTGATCCTTAAAATTCATAAAATCGTCAACATTTTTTAACAGCATGACAATATAACTCTTTACGAAGAAAATAAACCGAAAACGTTACTGTAGGTCTATCCGCTGAGAAGATCTAGCCAATTTTCGAGAGCGCCTTTTTTTCAAAAAATCGATATATCTTGAATAATAATTAATATTTTAAAATTTTTCAAAAATGTATTTTTTTGGCTTGCCGCGAACTATGCTTACAGTAAATAGTAAATATGGGAACGTAAATGTAAACGAGTTATAGAAGAAGAGTAAAGTGAAGATTTTTAACGGATTTTTCGATATATCTCGAAAAGTAACAAAGCAATCGATACTTACAAAAAATCATTTGATAGATCTTTTTAAAACCTACAACTTTCTCATTTAAAATTTTTCAATCGGTGCTATATTTTTTTAGTTATTTTAGAAAAACCGTTTTTTGCACCTTTGAGATTTTTTTTAACCATGTTCGCCAATTTCGATCGAGTTTAAAGAACAAGAAACTCAATTTAAAATTTAATCTTCTATACGGTCATATTTCTCTATAATGCTTGGACTAATAGTAAAAACTGTTGTTTGAATTATTTATGACTCTTCTACCGACTGTTTATATTTTACTATTGTTGTACATATTCTTTTTTAAATTTTTTTGACAGACTTGCACAGGTTATTGCTAACTTTACTTGAAACAGTTAAACGAACGTTTTAAGCATTTCTTCTAGACCTAGAAATAACCCGTCTCTCTTCCGCAGCGATGTAAACTACTTGAGCACCGTGGCCCCTCCGGCTGCTGCAGAGTGGACGTCGCTGCTGCGACCCCTCCGCGGCCGGGAACCGGAGGGCATGTGGAACCTGCTCAGCATCGTCAGGGAGATGTTCAAACGCAACGACAGGAATGCCATCCCCCTCCTGGAGATTATCACTGAGGAGTGCTTGGCGTGCGAGCAGATCCTGATCTGGTGGTTCAATACCAAGGTGGCCCTGCTTAGCGGCAACTCCGGCTACGGAGGCAGCGGCGGCGGAAAGCACAACAACGTGAACAGCAACACTCACGCCTCGCAGCACGCCTGCTCGTCTCTGTGCGATGAGGTCGTCGTGTTGTGGAGGCTGGCCGCTCTGAATCCCGGCCTGGCGCCTAGCGAGAGGGATATGCTGCACAACCAGGTTGGGTCGTTTAGTACTTTTATTTATTTTTTATTGTTTATTTGTAATATTTTATATTATGTCGTTCAGCAGCACAAATCCCTGTTATAAAATGGGAATATACGAGAAAAAAGGAATACAAAAAGGATAAAAAGAAAATACAAAATTACGTGTGGCGATTAAAACAAAATTAAAAGATACGGAAATGAATTGAAAATGAATTCTACAAACAAAAATGCGAAAAATGTAACAGTAAAGAATATAATAACATTTTCGGTAATTATTTCTTCATCAACCACGAAACTATTCGGTAACTTTGAAGAATAATTAATTAATGTCTTCAGAACAAAATTTCTAGCTGCGATACATTTCTTTTTGTCCTTCGGAACTGTACGTGTTTCTTTTTTTTTAAGTTCACGACATGGCACATGAAAATCCTCGAGAAGGTAAGCAAATGCCGCAACACGACCTCGAGCTCCCAGTCCAACTACAACAAGAACTCCAGCTCTCTAAAGATGGACCTGGAGGTGTTCACCGGGTTCAAACCGGCCATCGAAGCCTGCTACCTCGATTGGGACGACTATCCCATGCCCGGTATAACCTACACCCAGGACATCAATCCCATGTACCACTGTCCCTTCACCTGTTTCCGCCACGGTGCCGACAGTAGCCGAGGGGAGAGCCAGGTCACCCAGGTTAATTCTAGTAAGGCGGTCTTGAACTGCGAACATCCCCACCAGCACGCCTCGCATTCCCACCACCACCACCACCATCACCACCACCACCACACCCATTCCAGGGTGACGAGGTTCGATTACGTTAACGTTATGAGTTTGAATCCCGTGGAGTATCCGCCGCATCCCCATCCGCAAGTTAACGACAGGGATGGGAATCGGTCGAGCGTTAGCAGCGAAGGTTTCTGTGAGGTGAGGAAGTATTTTGCTGAATACGGGGTGTAATTTTGATTGGGGATTAAATTTATATCGGGGCTCTTAAAAATTTTAATATTTTCAAATTTTGGTGTCTAATTGACAACAGACATAATCACAATGTAATTTTGATAGTTTTGCATCTGATAGTAGGACCATGTTAGAGGTCATTGACTCTGAGATTCACAAACTAAACACAGTACTTTAAAAAGAAATTTGTAACCGACTTTTTATTAAAAACTTGAAATGACTAAAAAATATTTCAATTATAACTCGACTATTTATTCGGTTTTAAAGAAATTAAATTCAGATTAATAATTATTGTGGGGAAAACCCCTAAAAAAATTGTAATAAGGCGAAATTCGTTCATAGAAACAATTCCAGGTCGACGACGACATAAACCTACTGAGGGAAAACAGATACAACGATTCCGACTCTCAAGAGGGAGGCGGCAGCGACTCGTCTAGCAATAGCAGCGCGGACAGCAACACCCCCTCGACGGCCCAACATTCCAACAACACCAGCGACAACGATATCAACAAGCAGAACTACAAGCCGTTGCAGCCCGTGTCGGTGCCTGTCATCTCGAACACTTGGGTACGCGGGGCGCAGGTGGAGCAGCTGCCCGGTTCGAGGAGGCCGTCGAAGGACGAATCTACGTCGTCTTCGAATTCGGAGTCGCCCCAGTCGGGAGACGAGTACAACGTCTACTTCTACAACAGCAAGGACATTGACGCCATGAACACTAGTGCTCAAAGTAGTGGTAGTTTGAAAGTGAACGAACCCGAGGATAAATCAACTATGTTTTCTAGTTTGAGAAAGTGCGACGATCCGTGGGACGTGTTGTTCTCTAGGGCGGAGGGCTTGCACGCCCACGGGCACAGCCGGGAGGCTTGCATTTTAGGTGTGAAACTAGCGGAGGAACTTTTGATGAATCCCCCCGATTTGATGATCGAGATTCCGCCCATACCCCGAAAGAAAGGTAAGTGTTCGGTTTTAGTTTTATTTTGCTGATTTTGTTTATTAATTTATTTTTTTTTATTTATTTGTTGAAAATTTCTGATTATTTAATTTGAAGTTTTTTTTTTTTTCATTTAAGAGTTTCAGTTAATTTATAGCAGTTTTTTTGTCAAGAATTTTAAAAAATCTATGCGAGTTAGAACCATTATTTCTTGGCTGTACTAGTTATACAAGTTTTTTCTAGGGTTTAAGACATTTTACAACTTGACAACACGTTCAGAATATAAAAAAAAGCATATTTTTATCTCTTATGTTTATCGTTACGTTTCCTGAACTTTACACGCCTGTTGAACGTACAGAAAATCACGTACAGCACTATAAACCTAATCACACCCCACAGAATGCTTTTAAGAAACTATTAACACATGAATTAACCACAATTATTAAATACTTCCTGCAAAATTCTCGACAAAACGGAACAAGTATGTTGACCGCAAAATATATTTGACAGGTAAGAAGCAGCAGGTGAATCCTGCGACCCACCAGCTGAGCTGCCTGGCGTCGGCGACCCTCTCAAAATGTGCCTTCTTGTGCTCCGTCTTGTCGGAGAACTGCGAGCATTTCCACCTTGCTTTCCGTGTGGGCATGTTCGGGCTGGAGATGGCCAGGCCCCCGGCCAGCACCAAACCCTTAGAAGTGAAACTGGCCAATCAAGAAGCCGACCTGGTGAACCTCCTGAAACGGATCCCGTTGGGTCACAGAGAGTTACAGATCCTGCGCGAGAGGGCCGAGCTGCTAAAGGAGGGTACTCTAAAGTCCCGAGGCGAAGCCATGCTCCCCATAATGCTGGCCAGTTTTATATTTGACGCCCTGGTGATCCCCAGCGTAATCGGTCGCGACAGGGTGAAAATAATGAACATGCGGCTGCCTTCAGACGAGCCCTTAGGGTTTGAAGCGGCGGTCGCGGCCTTGGGATTGAAAGCGAACGTTTCGGAAGCCGACCACCCTTTACTTTGCGAGGGTACACGAAGACAGAGGGGGGACTTGGCGATAGCCCTCTTAACCTTCTATAAAGACGACTGCTGGAAGATAGCCAGGATTATGGATAGGCTGTTGGACAGGGAGGTGCACCAGTTGATAAAGACGCCAATTATGAGTTCTTATTATTCCAGTAACCCACCTATTAAAAGCCAGTTCAGTAATTTAAAGAGAGAAGACTGTGATAAAGTTATAACGCCCCTCAGCCCTTTTCTGCCGCCCACGGAGATGGTACCCACCGATTTGAGTAAGTAAAACTTTCACAATACAGGGTTAATTGGCAAAACTTAAAATTTTAATTCCGGTGGTTGAAGTAAGAAACAGAATTTCATGTAGAAATGTCTGATAACATTCTGTTTTCAAGATACAAAGTGTTGAAGTTTGAAAAAAAAAGTTTACCTTTCAACGTAATATTGCAGAGTAATTTTATCTTCATCGTAAATGTTTCATATTGTTTTTCGAAAACATTTATCCAAATCTGACTTTGGCGTTAAGGAACAGTTTTGTATGATTAGAAGCCAAAATTTTTTTAATCTAAATATGTCTAGTCTGATGTCTAGGGCATTAGTCGGCAGAGTAGTTGTTTCCTGCAATATCATCAGTTAATATTCTCTTTAGATATGTTTTAGAAAAAAACGATTCCTTGACACACTGTATAAGCATTTTCGAATCTTACCTAATTATATAGTCACGTATATATTTATAATAAATATATGTTTAATAATTTTCCATCCACTACTGAAGCAGGTTGCTGCAGCAGGCCCCACAGCTCAACTAGCGCGGAGATAGATCAAGGTATGAGCAACTTGTCGATAAACGGCCAACCCGCTCAAATCGCGACGCAAGGAGCGGTCACTAGGACAAAGGAAGGCCGATACAAAGGGAAACGGGCATATCCGTCAATACCGAATCAGCCGTCGGAGGCGGGGGCGCATTTCATGTTCGAATTGGCTAAGACGGTGTTGAACAAGGCCGGCGGCACCAGCAGCACCTCACTTTTTACTCAACCTTCGACGAGTCAGAACCATCACGGACCTCACCGGGCGCTGCACATGTGTGCATTTCAACTCGGACTTTATGCGTTAGGCTTGCACAATTGTGTCAGTCCTAATTGGCTGAGTAGGACGTATTCGTCGCACGTTTCGTGGATAACAGGTGAGTTTATTTTTATTAGTCATTGTCATCATTATCATCTTACATTTATTAATTTCCACATTTCAACAATTTATTTCCTATTTCCTGCCATGTTTCTAGCTTCCTTTTCCTTTCTTCAGTAATACAGCAACACTATAAAGTTGTCTTCCCCCTTCCGTTTTTACCAAGTTTTCCGGGTTTCCATGTCTTGTTTGTGAAATATAACCATAACCTACAAAGTTTATGTCACACCTGAATTGTTTCTCAGTGCCTACTAGCACTAAACATTGCTTTGTACCTATACACTGCTTTATTCCAGTAGGCATTGAGTAATAATGACATTTAAGATGTGACAGATATTTTGTAGGTTATATCTCACTCACACCCAAAACAAATCGCTAATCTAAATAGTTCATTTGTTGTCTCACTTTTAACACTAATGAGAACTGTTAAGTTTGAAGTATTATAGAGGAATAAAGGTTTTTAAGTTTTTATATCAAAGTTATTCATTGAATGTGATTATTAGCTTGTCACTATACAGGGCAGGCGATGGAAATCGGCGCGGCAGCCATCTCATTCCTGATAGACACCTGGGAGGGTCACTTGACCCCGCCAGAGGCTGCCAGCATCGCTGACAGAGCTTCGAGGGGTTGTGATCTCAATATGGTGCGTGCCGCTGCCGAATTGGCGTTATCATGTCTACCTCACTCACACGCGCTAAATCCAAACGAAATTCAGCGGGCGATCCTCCAGTGTAAAGAGCAGAGCGACGACATGTTGGAGCATGCCTGTCTCACCGTGGAGAACGCGGCGAAAGGCGGTGGGGTATACCCCGAGGTTCTCTTCCAAGTGGCCAAATATTGGTACGAACTGTATATCGGGCATACTCCCGGTGGAGAGCAGTTGATAGATAATGAGATGCCGCACGATCCTCTCATGGATGGCCATGGTGCTTTGGTGGCTCTGATAGAGGCTCCCGTTCCGCCTGAAGGGCCGCCGCCTCCTGCACCGGTTGTTGTTACAACAGCCCCGCCTTATACGGTAAGTCTAATTGATAAGAGCGAAAGTCCATTTTTGTGTAATTGTATGTAACCAAAATTTTTATCGGTTTTTCAGAATTTTTACGTTTACCATTTTTTTTTAAATATCGTTTATAAAGTTGCATATTGTTCTAAAAGCTTTATTTTCAGCACGCCGCCCCACCGGTGGGCATGTACGTGAGTCACTACAACTTCGTTCCGCATCCACACCACCCTCAGATGGGCTACGGGGGCCCTCTACACCCCCTCCATCAAGCCCCACCCCCAGCACACGTGCAGATGTACCAGTTTCCTTATCCCCCTCCCCCACCTCAAGCCGCCGCCCCACCATTCAATCCCGTTCCCACTTCCTATTCCAATATACCGCCACCGCAACAGGCGGCGTTTACCAACGCCCCGTCTCAATATCCGCAACCACCTCCCGCTGCGTTTACGACTCCGCAACAACCACCTCCACCTCCGGGACAGCTCCAGTACTACGGGCCGGCCGTCACCATAGCTCAGCCGGTGCAAGGCTTGAGGCCTGCGCCGCACATGTACCCACCTCCACCACCTGGTGAGTGCAAATTGACTCACAATTTTTATGATAAAAACGTTTTGACAGCCTTTGTTATTAAACGCAGTAATTTTTGAGACTTGAGAGACTATTAAGGAAGAAATTTTAGGTATGGCTCCACATCCGCAGCAAGCAGTGGCGAGGCCCCACAGGCCTCACCAGTTCAACCAGGCCCAGTTGAGGTACTTACTGACGGCTTATAGAGTAGGCATGTTGGCTCTAGAAACTCTAGCAAGAAGAGTGCATGATGATAGGCCACAGGCTAAATACGCGAGAAATCCGCCCTATGGGGAAGATGTCAAGTGGCTGCTTAGGATATCGAAACATTTAGGTAAGTGTTAGAAAAATGAAATTTATTTATTTATTTATGTAACCTATTTACTTACCTTACTTACTTATCTTACTTATCTACTTACCTTACTTACCTACTTACTTACCTTACTTACCTACTTACTTACCTTTTACTTACCTTACTTACTTACCTACTTACCTTACTTACCTACTTACTTACCTACTTACCTTACTTACCTACTTACTTACCTACTTACCTTACTTACCTACTTACTTACCTTACTTACCTACTTACTTACCTTACTTACCTACTTACTTCCTTACTTACCTTACTTACCTCCTTACTTACCTTACCTATCTACCTACTTATCTACTTATTTATTTATTTATAGAACTTACTAGTTCAAAAGTGAAATTACTAATTTACAGGACAAAGTACAAAAAAATAGCATTACTAAACTACAAAGAAATTACGTGCGTACACATTCTGAATCAAATTTCCCGTTTTTGTGTTCAGGAACACAGTACCTGCACCATTTCTGCGTCTGCGCTGTGAACTCCATAGTGAGTCCGTTCGTGCTGCATGATGTGGCCATAGAGGCCGCCCAGTACCTTTCGAGGAACAACCCGAGTCTCGTGATGCAACACCTGCGCACCGCCCTCACGCCCCTCGTTCAGAAGTGCCAGCAGATGTACATACAATGCATGCACCAGAAGCTGTATCACCTGACGTCGGCCGACTACGAGGACTTTGTCAGTATAGTTTGTGCGGCGAGGGCCGCCTTCCAGATCACCCCCGACGGCACGACGCAGTTCAAGGAGTGGTTGCAGTCGATCAGGAGGTGAGTATTATCAAAATTATCAAAATCTCCAACTTGATGTACAAAAGTTCGTAATTAAGGAATATTGATATAACTGCGTGCATAGAACACCATAAAATACAATGTTTAGCACTTTTTTGAATTTCTTTATGCTTAATTCTAAAAAATAATTAGCGTTGTAATAAATTTAATATGTGGTAAAATTCATTTCGAGCAATGTGACAACGGCGCGGCGGATATCATGAGGTACTTTACTAAACTGTGCAGCAATATACAATTCAGTTGGTATTTGAAATTGGACCGTGTCTGAGTGTTTATATTTCGATTTTTGCAAAATATGTGGGGAATGCAGCTTACATAACTTCAGATTTGGTTTCAGGACATCAAAATACATAAGAAACCCACTTGATCAAGTTTAGAACAAATTTTTTTGAATTTTTTTGCACTCACGTAAATTTTGCCGATTTTTCACTATTTTTTACAAATTACTCAAAATTTTGGGCGTGTTTGAGCTAAATGGACTTCAGATTCAGATTTAACACGTCGAGATACATACTTTGGTACAAACCACCTTCTTTTTATTGTGCCGGTGTTTTCTTTAGCATTTGCAATCACTAATTGATCTACTGGCTTGCAAATAATTAAATAAAACGTCTTTTAGGTCGAAGTCGTGCAAGAAAGACCTTTGGACCCAGATAAACACGGCCTTGCAGGCGAACAGCAAATGACAAAGGCCTGACCTAGGTGCCCAAGGTAGTTATAGTTATCATAGGAACCCGTCTGACGCGGTGGAAGAAGTGGATATGCAACCGTCGACCCCTCCGTTGCTGCACCTCTGCAGCTACTCGCCGGAGCTGGCTGTGGGCCACCAGATATACATAGCACGTACCCACCCCCTCCTGCCGCACGACGTCGTCATCAACGAACAACAGCAACAGCCGCCTGGCAGCGTGGCATGGGTGCCGTTGCCGAATAACTCTCCTCCGCCCACCAGTTGATTCGAATAGGCCGAATCAACTTTTTAAAGCAATAGACGGCATCGGTAAAATCGCGTGGAAGGTTCTTTTAATGCTTGTCCAAAATTAACGTATTTTCTACTTCGCTCCAGTTTCGTGCCTCTGTCAGAACGGGAAGGGAGTATTAATGGAGCCTTTGGACGTTTCAGCACGTCGGTCGAGAGGATCGTTTTATTGTCATCGTTTTTAATTGACTTAATGTTTTGTTGTCGGTTATTTTTTTACATAACTCTGCAAAGTGCTCAAAGTAATGAGATGGAACTTTTAATGATGTGATTTTTTTTTTCAATCGTTCTCAAAACCATATCAGAAAATACGACACAGGTTTTATATACGAAGAAATACCTTATCATTTGATGGTAATAAATTAAAGTGTTTTGCCGCAGGTACTCTTTTTCTTCTCTTTATACTCTAGGTCTAAAATAGCAGGCAGTAGGGCGTGCGGGCAATGCGATTCCATAGGAGTATAATTTTAAAGGGTGCCAAAAATTATTGTGTGTTGAAGAACAAATAGATGCATCAATTTTGATAAAAAGTACTAGATTATCGTTACGAATTTACGGTCTGGTATATCAGCAGGTAGGTAAGTATTTTTTTTTATTTATACTAAAGTATTCCACACGTGTATAATTTTTTTTCTTTTTTTATGTGATGTAACCAGCATATCCTCTGACTGGACAAGCGCCCCTGCAAAAAATCTACTAAAATCCGCTGTTCTTTTTGTACGTGTATAATGCTCTTATTCCGTGTCTTGACAGTTGTCCGATTAATCCTACAGAAGTTCTTTTAAATCTAATTTTAAGATTATGTTATTTTGTGCCACAAGTTTTTATATTCGTTCAGATTAGTTCAATGGGGTCCAGCTCATGGTCAAACATTGGCAATGGAAGAAGTGCTTTAATTATCTTTCATTTTGGCCTTTTTTGTGTGTGCAACTACTAATAATCCTATTCTTAACATTATGTCTATATTCAATATGTTTTCCGTTGCACTATTTCATAGTTTCGCCTTTCCTCCATGCAGATGTTGACAATTTTTTTATTCATCGACTGTGGTAAGCATCATTATCTATGGCAATCACTGCACTAGGTGTGATGTGAAAGAAAGTAGATATATATTTTCCACGGACCCCACTGTCCATATTTCCTGTTTGTTGTGAATCGAACACTTGTAAATCATTGTTCAAAAATCGGTAAAACTGGCATAATCTAGGAAAATTCAATTTTTTTCTTACCATGTATTTAATTCTTTACTTTTTTACATTTTCTCCATTTTAGCAAATGATAATATACACACATTGTCCATTATACAATTTTCCTGAACTGTTAAGAGGGCTCTATAGCAAACGGGGAACCATTTTTATAGATTTTATTACACAATCTGTCAAAATATGAATTAATGCACAAATAACAGACTTTCCCCCATTTTAACGCAGATTTTCTATAAAATGGACTTGGTTTGAAACTCGAATAACTTTTTGGTGTAAAGGAATTTGTAATTTACTTGTTTAAAAGCGGCAAATTACAAATTTCTTTACAACAAAAAGTAATTTGAGTTTCAAATTAACGCCATTTTATAGAAAACCTGCGTTAGAATGGAGGAAAGTCTGTTATTTGTGCATTGATTCATATTTAGACAAACTGTGTAATAAAATCTATAAAAATGTATTGCTGGTTGTCTACTTGCTATAGAGTCCTCTTAAATTCAGTCATTTATGACTACCCTGACGAATCCATTTTAACAACACTTATCGGAATAATTAAAATGTGAAAATAACACGTTTTGCTAGTACGCTTATGATGCTCGCTGACACTATAAATTGTGTTTTATGTACGACTCTACTGCCCGCTATTTTGGAACTGAAGTATAGCTGCTACTTAATTTTTTTTAGTACGTGTTGGGAAAGGTATGGAAATTTTGCGAAACTATTTCGAAAAAGCGGTAGCCGCTAGAAGTACATGGCTGGAACATTTCAGGAGAAGCCGTTTTGAAATTATTAAGATTTTTTAACCGTATTTTTTTCGATTAGGCGACGCTTTTAATACGTTTGTGGGTTTTTATTTCGTTGGCATTTTAGATGATTAGATCACGAAGAGCCGCTCGTATTTTAAAGACATACGGTACACTGGGACTTTTGCATATCACAACGTGGACAGGTGTTAAAATGCATCAAAATGATGAAAAAAAAAGTGTAGTTTTATTTAAAAAGACGTGCTCAGGTTATTCTACCATCTCTGCCTTCATATAGGTAAATTATTGTATAATTAAGTAGCCCAATTAAATATTTTATTTTTAATTATCGATCGATTACTACCACTTACACACATCACGTGTCGCAGGATTTTTTTCGTTCTACTGATTTGATTTAAGCAACGGTAAGAGACGTATGTTCGACGCTATAGACTTCTATATTTTAAAGAATATAATTCATAGTATTATTAAAAAAAAAAAAAGTGAAAATATAAGGATATACATAGAAGTTTTGCTATGAACTGTCGTTTATGAAATAGTTGTTTAAGTGTAGTTAGTAAGTGTTTTTATATATGTGTTGACCGAATGAATGTTTATCGTTTTATCACGTGGTATTTTTTCTATCACGGTATTATATTTTACGCGGTTGAGTATAAAATATAAATGGTTGTGTTCAATTTTGCGTTTTCAGGTTACGTATTTACTTTTAAGGGCCGCCATCTCAACTGAAAATGTTACCCGTTGAAAAAATCGCCAAATATTCTTCTCGGTTTCATGTCTTTGCTGTGATAAAACTTTTAACAGTACTGTATTAAAAAATATGGTCTTACATACACAGGGCGCGACACAACGACGTATCGAAAATGAAAAAGCGTCTTTCTCTTCCAAATTTAGAAATATTTTTCCTTTGTGTAATCGTTTACTCTCAAAATCCCCGTTTTTAAAATACAAACTCTTAAAACCTTTCAAAGAGTGACCGCAAAATCCGCCTGTTTTTGAGACTTTGACAGGGGCGACAGGGAAAATCCTAAAAATATTCTGAAGATATCCAAAATCTCGTCACTTTCAGTTTTTCGAAAATTTTCGAAAATCACCCTTATTTAGGGGTTGAAAAGACAAAAAAGTGAGCAAATTAAGAATCGTCAGCAATTGTAAAACCACAAATATTTCTATGTTGTTATCAAAATAATATTATGAACGTGAAAATATCTAATTTCGTGGTGGGGTGGTTTTACCCTCATTTGGAATTGGAATTGTATTTCCACCGCGGCACTTAAGCCTTATTAGGCCCCTTGTACACTCTCCTTCATTACTCGAGTGCTTTTTCTTCAAACCATCCTATTTACTACACGGGTGGCTTGGTGGCAAAGTCTCGTACAGTTTATGTACGATAGCATGGTCTTGAGTTACAGAGATTTTCTTTGCTCTGTTCTCATTACATTTATCGGGGACCACACGCATGCGGCAAATGTTGAGCGACCCAGGTCTCTGGTGGGCTGCCACAGCCACGTCCCCAAGCCTGCCTTAGGTCACCCATCCAAATTTCAGCCTGCGTCCGTGATGCTTACCTCGACAGATCGAAATCCACCGGCCAAGACACCCGGCTAGGCGGTCCCCTCTCACTTAGGGGTATTTTCCTTCGGATCTAGTGATTCTGGGTTATTAACGGTTCAATTATCGCGTATAAAAGAAAAAGAAAAAAAATTGTAACTTTTAATATATTTTTTGCATTTTTAGGCGTTTAGGGGATGATTTCACCTCTTTAGGGATATTATGGGTTGATTTTCAATCCGGACAAGACCGTATCAAACACGAAATTAGATATTTTCACCTTCGTATTATTTTGATAACAACATAGACATAGAAATATTTGCGGTTTTACAACTGTTGATGATTCTTAATTTGTTTACTTTTTTTGTCTTTTCAACCCCTAAATAAGGGTGATTTTCGAAAATTTTCGAAAAACTGAAAGTGATGCTCATTTTCATTTTTCATGATGAGTATTTGAATATTTTTAGAATATTTTTAGGATTTTTTCTGTCGCCTCTGTCAAAGTCTCAAAAACAGGCGGATTTTGCGGTCACTCTTTACTACACTTGTGACTGGTAACAAACTACACTTACGACAAAATTATAAATTCCCAAAGGACTGAAATAACCTTAATTGTCGACAAAATTGATCGTAACTTCAATTTTGTTTTACAAAAAATTAAATAGCTTCAGAGATCATTAAAATCATTTATAGTAGACTTATGAAAAAAAATTCTGAACCCGTCAAGGGTATACCAGGTGTACAAGTATGAAATGCAGATTTTTGTCTAAAAAAAAAACATGTTAAATTCGGAAGAATGATAAAAAGTGATCGCTTGTTATACATTTTTCCCATCTTTCGGGCAATTTGTGAATTCCATGCCAGTAAAAATCTTCCCCTTTTGCCCCGAACCATTCATCGAGCCATTTTTTCACATCTTCGTAGGAACCAAAGCGCTGCTCAGCAAGTGCGTGACCCATCGATGCAAACAAGTGGTAATGAAGAAAAATGACTGTGTAGCCTCTTTCGGTATTCAGGCCTTTTTTCGAGCAGCGAACGGTTCAAATTGGTCAATTGTTGGTAACGTTTAATATTAACCGGTTTCCCACCTTCATCCAACAATTCCACATCTTCGTATTTTTTTGGCGGTTTTCCACGTTGCTTGTCTGCAACATCGAAGTCACCACTTTTGAAATGCCGAAACCATCGTTCACGCATATCTTGAGATGGAGTATGTTCACCATAAGCTTCTCGAAGTAATCAGTATGATTCAGCAGTAGTCAAACAATTAATGCTCTCCGCGAATGCCCTTTGTTCGATATAAATTTAGTATAAATACAGCACACACTTTTCCAATTTATCACTCAGTGTGCTTCCGACACTTGTTGATGACACAACAAAATGGCGCAGTGTCAAATCTTTATAGCACAAATTGCATTGATGCGCCATCTGTTGTTGGAAATCCGCATTTCATACTTGTACACCTGGTAAATGGCTCTTTTTAATTAGGATATTGATCATATCATTCTATTTACACAATTTTTAAATAATTTTAAGTGCTCTATAGCAAATAAGCAATTAGCAACACATTTTTATAGAATTTGTTATACAGTTTCTCTAAATATGAATTAATGCACAAATAACGGACTTTCCTCCATTCTAACGCAGATTTTCTATAAAATGGCATTAGTTTGAAACTCAAATTACTTTTTGTTGTTGAGAAATTTGAAATTTGTATCGTAAATTACAAATTTCTTTACACCAAAAAGTTATTTGAGTTTCAAACTAAGTCCATTTTATATAAAATCTGCGTTAAAATGGGGGAAAGTGTGTTATTTGTGCATTGATTCATATTTAGGCAATCTGTGTAATAAAATTTATAAAAATGTATTGCTGATTGTCTATTTGCTATAGAGTCCTCTTAATAAGTTGGCAAGAAAATAATTAAAAAAACTTATAAGGTGCTCTTCTTCCAAGTCGATAATATTAACTGATTTCAAATAAAAATATATTTATTGTTTTCTGGCCAATACTTTGCCGTCATATTTTTTATTAAAATGCGGGAACATAAATATTTTCAAATTTCATAATTTTTATAAATGAATCATTATAATTGATGGTGATTACGTTTTTTCTCAGACACGCTTAATGTTATTGACTTGGAACTTGAAGATTTTTTTAATTGTCTTTAACGCCAGTTATTGAATTTTTTGAAAAAGCATCAATAAACTGTTTATATTACTTTTCCTGAATTTTGCATGCCCGTTGTACATACAGAAAATCGCGTACGGTACTATACACATAGTCACACCCCGCAAAATACTTTTAGGAAACTGTTAACACATGCATTAATCACAGATATTGACTATCTTTGTCTTTGAGATTATGGAACTATTAAGTTTTCAAAAAACATCCTGTATATGGAAATATACTAAAATTTGGAGTAGAACACATTTTTGACACGTCGTGGTGTAACTGTTGGCTCATTAATGTTTTTAATACATTTTTTACAATAAATTATGTATGTTACATTATTTTCAATTGGGATGGCGCCGCCAAACATGTATATGTAGTAAAACGGCCCATTTCATTTATTGATCTCAGTATGTGTATGATTAAAACAGTTGAAAATTTAGCTTGCCCCGACCAACTCCTCTCATAATCCATCCCACGACTTCAGGAAATTTTTTAAAAGTGTCAGTAAAAAAACGTGCCTTTAACTTTCTAGTTGCAATATAATGAAGAAACAAAATTTCTGATGTGAGCTTGTATAAATAATCTAAAAGCGGGTGTTTTATGAAAGAAGTTGCGTCCTTCTGGACTTACTCTCAATGCTGATTTGATCCCCATTGAATATCCCGATCGACGGCGACATCGGTCCGAACAGAACCTTGTCGGGGTTAGACCTGGACGGTTCGAGCCTAATTTTAGTTGATTTTCAAGTAGTTTTTTCATATTATGCACTAGTTCTTCATTTTTATGGTATAGTTAGGTACGAGTAACTTAATCTATTGTAATAAGTGTTACTGATTTTATTGGAATATGATTTACATTGTTATTGTCCGTCGCTGTGTATATGGGACATGTATCAGATTTTTTCGATGTAATCAACAGTTTTTCCTTCGTAAAAAGGTGTACATCATATTTCTTTAATTCAATTCACAAGAGAGAAATAAGGGCTGATTTATAAAAATATGTATAAAAATAGAAAATGCCGTAATTGACTAAAAACTTGATGTGAAAATCGGTGTTCTTATTTTAACAGTCTGTGCTACTAACCGAGTTGCGCCACCGGAAAGTCCAAGTATCTTTGAGGTATCACTTCGGTTCTAATTGGTTTCTGTACAAAATTGCCAGCTCCACATATCACTACTTTTTGGTGGCGTAACTAATCCCAAACGGAGGGCAGTATATATGATCGTTAAACTTACCATCGTCTGCAGGAGATTTTTATTCAAATTTATTGGTAAGTTTAAATTTATACACGGTATTCCAGAAATAAATGCTGGGACTTTTTGCTCTAGTCACTGAAATGACGCAACACCCTAACACTTTCGAAAACTTTAGTTTTGTAAATTATTTTGTTAGAAGTGTTGCTGACGACTGCATTTACAAAATAAATTAATTAGAATTTTGAATTTCGAAAGAATTTGAATGGTCCTTATTGCCTTGAAAATCGATCATAATTTTTCTATGTCTTGTTCTCAGTTGATAACATGATCCGTTTAAAAAAAAAGACATTTAATGTGAAGTAAGTTATCCCTTAATGATTAAAATTGATCTATTTTGTGGTACAATTAGATGATTTGAACAAGAGTGAAAATTTTATTTTATGCAATTGTATACAGAGTGTTCTTTAACGATCTTCGAATATTTAAGGGTGTGATTCTACATGGAAAATTATAATATAAACTACGGTCCAAAAATATTCCGTTGCAAAAATATGTGGTGTTACCGACAATACGAGTTTTATTTTTTTTTACTCAAAAAACGGCGCATCACAGGACAAAACTCAAGAGAGCTCTTTCGAATTGAATGGAGATTTCAAAAATAATTTTATTTGGGAAAAAAACCATTGGCGCACCATTTTTTTCTTTAAAAATATCAAAGTCAGTGCTCGTATGCACACCACTGGTAGAGCTAAAAATTATGTTTATATTAAAAAACATGCGCCATTATTAACTATTACTACCTACTAAATATCACTAAAATATCTCAAGCGGTTTCGAAAATATCAATTAATTTCTTTCATTTTCCTAAAATTTTAACATCCCGTATTTTCACAACGGAATATTTTTGGAGCAAAGTTTATAAAGCAAACTATTATTAATTTTCCATGTGGAATCACACTCTTAATTATTCGCATATCATTAAGGAACACCCTGTATATCTAATGCATTTATTAATAAATTAAAATTATGAAATAAAAAAAATAGTATACAGCATTTGAAATAAACATAATTGCAAAATATTGTCTTGAACCATTACATGATTTTTTTTCCAAAAACAATGAATGTTATCGACTTAGAAGAGGGCCTTTTTGTAAAATTTTTTAATTAGCATTATTAAATTGTTCAATTTGTTAAAAATAATGAATTTTCTAGTCTAAAATGGGGTCGTATTTGTTACCAAAGATATAGTCTTTCCGAAGTCAGTTGAACATGCAAAAAAACGCCTGGCAATAAAATTTAATGAGTTTCATAGGCGTCCCTAAAAAAGTTTTCTGCTAAAGGTAAAAAATTATGATAATTTGTATATAATGTCTAGAAAATTTCTATTATATGTTTATTTGACCAACATATTTTAATTATTTATGTCCGCAAATAATTTTATTATATTGGTGGTAAATTTCGTTTTGTTCCGTTTCAAAAGGTCTCTAAAATGCCATGTTGTGATAATATTAGTAAACAAAATATCCCTCTTATTTCTCCCTTTCGCAATTGTAATGTGAATGATTGGTAGAAGGTGTCTATAATAAATTAAAATTACCTGAATCACACCAAATTCCGTATTGCTGCACTGCACTGCTGGGCAATTTATCAACTACATGTCAACTGTTGAGATTTATTGCTCAGTAGCCCAATGTAACTGTGTTTGTTTTCTTTTGCCCGCGCCCGCATTTTTGAACTGGGTATGGCTAAATAAATATGGGAACAGGTTTTTCGAATATTTCAATGCCGAGTTGCTGCGTCAGCGATGGAACCTGGTACATACCGTCAATCTGTTGGTTCTTTAATTTATATCGGAAAGACTATACCAAAATTGAAAAAAATTGATGAATTAATAGAAAAATTACAGCAAATTATTGATTAGGAAAAAATAACTGTGACTATGGAATTCCGTCAGAAGTTTAAAAAAAAGTGTCATAGGAAGATGCACTTTCTGAATGGACTAACCCTTACTTTCTGGAACACCCTGTACATCCCTTTTTATAAAAAAAATAATTCGTTGCACCTAATTTGCCATTTTCAAAATACACGAGTTTTGAGTTGCACTTTAATTTTATATATCTCGAAAGTAGCAGGAATAATAGGGAAAATTAATGATATTAGTGATAACGAAATAGATTTAAATATTACTACCCAGCAAACACAAGAATTGCATATAAATGAGCTATTAAAGTCATTGATGGCTGTACATATGACCAATGATCGCGTTTGCTGGATAATTTTATATAAAAAGTTAAAAACAATACTATCGTATATACTGCCATCAGCAACCTGTACTTTCTGTGTTACATTATTGTTAAACAGTGCCTGACTAAAATCTGCATGAGTGAAAAATGATTTAATTACAATTACAAGAACAGTTACTAGATCTCGATAAAAATTATTTATCTTCAAAATTATTCATTTTATTGGTCAAAATTTTGGTGTAAATAAATAGTAGTGAAATATCAGATAGTATTTTTGCACGTGTATAGATGAAATTCCAAAATAAAAGCTGATAAATTTTGATTAATTGGTCCTTCGAGCCACGCATCATCATAGATAATCTAGGTTCAAATCATGGGCAAGATTTTTTATTTTCTTAAGATTTACAGAATCTAGTGATTGTTCCATAAAATGTATATGAAATAAAAAATAGATATCCTCCATTACGTGTGAAGCCATTCAACGAGGATAGTCTTGAAAAGTATTTCACCGACATATTTCCAAGATTCTTCGCCAGCAAAAAAATTTTTTAATGTATTAGAAACTTTCAGAAATTAATATTTTTAGATTATTTGTGATATACTTCTCAAAAGTTTCTCGGTATTTAACCCCATTCTTTGTATATACTTTTTTTAACACTTCGGTTAGCACTTTAAAGATGCATATTTGTGTAAATATAGTATTAATGTTAATCTGAATGGAGAGCAGTACTTTCAAATGGTATTTCTATTAATTTGATAGCACAAAAATGTACATTTATCAACTAGCGTTGTAGTAATTCTTTTCGAGAGTATATAGGAACACTTTTTCATATTTTCCTTAAGGGTGAGAATATTTGTAATATGTGTATTTAAATTAATCGTAACATATTTTTACACAACTATTTATGTATAAAACAAGGTATTTATATGCTACATGTAGGTAATATAATTCGTGTCTTAACAGGATTATTGTAGAGGCATGTGTATTTTCTCTTTATGTTTTGTACAGTTGGAAATATTCAGTAAAACACATTTACAGCTAACTTGGTACTATTTTTGTCTTTATACGTGCAAGTGAGGTAAATAAAACTATCATTTATTAACGGCTGTCTTATTTCTATTGGTTAAGGTTAAGGATATCATGAACATTTAGTTTTCAATTCTTTCACAAGTATTACAAATAATTAAGTTTTTTGCAATTTTTGTTTTGGCCTTTGCAGCGGGTGGCCTAACAACTTAGCAGCACAGTTATGTAAACGTCTGGAGTCTCTGCACACGGGAAAGAAGTAAGCAAGTCCCTTTTTATCCAATTCCTGCAATGCGTTAAATATTTTGTGACAGTAATTGCTGGATTCTACAGGTTCGTGTGTAATCAACACGTCACATATGAAATACGGGTTTTCCAATAAGTTTTCTATACTCTCATTAAGTTGAATTTTGGGAATTGTATACGAACGTCCATAAAATATCACAGTACGAACAATATAACTAGGCGGTACTTCTAATTTTAAGAGATTAGGCATAGTAACGTTTTCCTTTATTTCATCAAACAAAGAATTTAAATTAAATGTATCTTCCACCTCACATTTGTCTATTTTATTAATAGCATCTTTCAGTTTTCTCATATCGCTTGTGAAATTTAAAATCCACTTGGCGTTATTCTCATTCAAAACAACTATAGCAAATTCATTGGACTTATTTATTGTATGCTTCAACTTTATAAATAACTGTATTGCTCTTTTGAGCATGCTTAATGGTGTAAACTTAGAATTGTTTGCAACAAAGGGGGTAAAGTTTTCGTCTTGGGCTCGGTCAATTACAAGAATCAATTTCTCCGGAACATTTGCATTTGGTATACTAGATTCATTACGGTCCTCGAATACGTCGAATTCTCTGAGGTACTCTTCATGCACGTTAGTTTTTTGTATAGTTTTTACTTGAACTGTGGGTTTATTTGTTTTTATACTCAGCTGCTCCATCGGCTTTGCTATTTTTTGTTCACTGTCGCTGGGAGAACTTTGTTCTTCATTTTCTTCTTCCATCGTTATTGGAATTATGCGTTCTGCCATTTTTGTCTTTCGTAAACCCTTTATAAATTTGTTCAAATTTATATTTGTTTTCTACGCACGACAAAATATTACAGGCAAATGTCAAAGTTGGTAAAAGCAATTTTGCCAAATTTATAAATGTGAAATACCTAGAGCAACCCAGACCACGTGTCGCCATCTCCTGTTGACGTAGAGAAATAAATCGGGCATAAATTTATGTATATTGCTTACTGTAATTTTTACATTATTTATTTTTTTACTATTGTCTTCTATAAACTGCAAATTTATTAGTATACCTGCTGGCAAATAAAAATACACAGCACTTGGTGCGCATAGAAAATATTTCCATCCATTCGTTGGAGTTGGTGTTAATTACATATCGCCCATTTCAGTAGCTTCTTCAAATTTATGGAGAATTCTCTTCAATTCTTTAATTGCTACATGTTTCGGTTAAAAATTTAGACGCTTATATCAAAAACAGCGGAATATTTTACATGACGAGCCTCTCTTGATATCAAATAGGATTCATGGGTAATTAACATTAGCACTAAATCATGCAGTGTAAACAAATAGGAACACGAAAACAGTTTATTAATACCATTGTGACGTACATTGTAGTTTATTTAAAGGCAAAATAAATAGATCTAATTTGAAAAATGCTTTTGCAATATTACGGGCTGAAATTTGATGCCTATTTATTTTAGTCAATAACGTATTGGTATGGAAGTTTCCATAAATTTCCTCTAACGCACGTGCGTACTGCGTACTCTATTAATCTATAGCTGCTAAGTATTGGTTTTAGCAGACACCAAAACCGTATTCAATAATTGGCCTAACCTAACATAAGTCTTGTAAAGTTTAACGGAGGTTGTAATATCAGGGAGGGAAAATATTTTGCAAAACACATGCACATGCACATTGTTTTCTTGCAGCTGGAACGTATGGTTTGATCAGAATAGATCGTCAGACATAACAATTCCAAAATTAATAAAGTTTCATCTGTATATTGAGATCATTTGCATTGTGTCAAACTGGTTAGCCGAATATGAGTAAATTAAGAATAGAACCTAGTGGATTCAGTACAAATACCTAAGAAACATTATTCACAACATCTCTAGAGCATGAGAATACGAATCGGCGAATCACCGACTCTGACACTAAATTTTCTTCCTGATATTCAGTAAAGTAATTTCCCACGACCAAGTTTTGCAAGCAAAATCATTATATGAAAGATCAATCGTTTTTAAGAATAAAATATTATTAGCTCCCGTATTTTTACTATATTTTAAAGGCCAATTCAAACAAATTTAAAAAATTTTTTTAAAGTTCATATCAAATGAAGTCTAACAATACCAGTTATCTGTGTGTGAAGAAAGATCCAGGCCCGGATCCAGAGGGGGTGGCGATGTGGCGATCGCCACCCCCAAAGCACAACATTTTTTAAAGATTTTCAATTTCTCTAAACGACAACAGGCAGTTAGTCGATATTAATGCAAGTTCCCCTTCCTAACCTACACCTTACGTCATCAAAAAAATAACAACAACAACAATAATAATAATAATGATAAAGAAATGCTTTGCGCCACCCCCAAAACCAGTCTCTGGATCCGGGCCTGGAAAGATCGTTACACATACATTTTTTATGTCTGTATGATTGAGGCGCAGTTAAAAAATTGTGCGTTTGAAAACAAATGCGCTTCATATATTATTTATCTCTTAATGTGGTGAAACAATTATCGAAAGACATTAAGATTAACAGCGTACGAATAGGGGATACGAGACATGCATATAATCATATTTTTTTAATAATTTTGTCATTTGGCGCTCCATTCATTAACCTTGCGTTAAATTCTTAAATGTACAAATGTTTACAGTGTTACGATGTTTTATTATTTTTGTTTAACAAATAAGTTTATTTAATCTTCAGTTTATAATTACTTTAGAATAGATAATTTTGACATTGCTAATAATAGTTGGATTAACTTAATAATAATGGAAACATTCAAGCTTTTGTAATAGTCTTCTATCAGTTTTTTTATCGTCTCAACTCGTCAAAAATAAAATATTTAAGACAGAGAAGAAATTATATTATTTGCTTAAAATTTACATTAAGGTTATTCGGGTCGGAAATATTTTGAACTTTGTTAAAAAATGTTATCGTAAACGATTTTGAAGATCACGAAAATATTTTGAACTTTGTTTCAAAATTGTTATCTACTAACAAGATTGAATAATTAAAGATAGAAATTTAACCGGTTTTGTCCTACTTTTCATTTCTTGTTTATGTTTATTTTAAAAAATTGTCAATATTATTGATATGATGTACATTTAAATAATGCGTTTTCTAATAACTGGAGCATATATCAGTTAAATTAAGATAAAGATTGATCCCAAGGATGACCATAACTGCTTTTTTCCGGTGCTCTAACATTTTTATTAATTTTGAGTACACTGGCGTTTGTGTAATATCACGCACAATCATTATGCGACCCTGATTTTTACCGCTTGGAACGTGCCTGGGTGCAGTGATAATGAGCTTACGCACTGTCTGGCGGTTTTATTTACTCAAAAAGATTTGATCATAAAAATAACGAAAAGTAATTGTCGTACATTTTCTATAGATTTTATGAAGAAAACTTGAAAAACATGTGGCCTAAAATGCTTTGTTTTCAATATATAGTGTGTTCAAAATTGGATAGTTTTCTTTTAATATCTTCGAAAAGTTTAAAAATATGCAAAAAATTTTGTACGTGTACTAAGCTTTTTATGCCTTACAATGCAAAATTAGAATTAATAATCAAAAATCATCACAGGCGGGTTAAAATCGGGCATTTTTTAAAATTTGATTATAGAATTTGTAAATTCAGTTTATTTTCGCATTTTTATTTATGGAATTTTAATTAAATATAGTAGGCTGTGTCACCGATAATCGAAAAATTTGCTAAGTTTGAGCAGCCGTATATCAGTCAATTCTCATCCAAAAATACTGTACAACCTTTTTTTGAAGGAAATTTTATCTACTTTTTTTATGAAGCAATGCCTATACCTATCTTTACTTAAAAAAACTTGGGGTTAAAAAGTTAAAAAAAAAATAAAAAAATCGAATTTTTTGCTTTTTTTCAAATTGTTTATTAACGATTTTTTGCATAAAATTTTCCTTTTAAATTTTTTTAATAAGTCGTTTCGATGGAAATTCAATTATCTAAATAATTTTTCTTATGAAATTTGAAATTTTGCTTCGTTTTCGAGCTACAATTAAAAAACTGAATGGGGTGCATTTTCACCTCTATCTCCAATTTCCACCCTCTAATTTAATAGCACTCCGCGGTTTTTTCATCTAAAATGACCATTTGAACGATTCATGTAATAAAATATCTTGAACGTCGTAGTTCCTTGCCAATCAATTGCCTAATATGACCTTTATTTTAAGAGGAGTCATCAAAAATCATATCGAGTACTTTTGCAGATTTGCCTCTAAGCACGCCTTTGTGTGTAGAAAAGATGAAATTTTGTGTTTTACTTTCATTATATTGTTCGCTGAAAACTATATTTGTGCTCTTTCAATTATTTCATCGGGAAATAAAGATAAGATGAACTCAGACTCAAGACGGTAGCATCGTCAGCAAATAACGTAGGTAGGTACTACAAAATGGTATTTGAAATGGCAAGAGATGATATTAACATATACAATGAAAAGCAATGGCCCCAACATGGAACCTTGTGGAATTCTGTTATGTATACATTCATATGAGTGCTTGATACTTTAGTTTTCCTGATTTTATAATAAACTTTCACAAAACTGCTAGTGTATCTATTAATGAAATATTCTGGCGGAAAATTTCTCACTTGTCGGCGACAAACAAAAACGAATTGATTTTTTAATAAGGCATAGAAGAATTTTTTTGATGATTTAATAGATTTTTCGCCATATTGCACAACCTTTATAAAATATCACGCAATATAATAAATTCAAATCCTAGAATTAGTACTTATTATCAAGACAGAATTGTCACAAGCTATAATAGTTGTGTGATTCAAGAATTAAGATCCCTATGTTAAATGTTAAAACTGGTAATTATCAAAATATTGCCTGTATAAGTACAGAACTACTGATACATGGGCCTTTTAGAAATCTAGTTTTTGGCTTTTGTTTAGAAAATACAATGACTCAACTTTAGACTCTCTCTCCCATAATAGAAAAAATATGGGAAATGTGTATTTATAAAAATATTTATTGAAATTCGATCTTCTTATTTAAAAGCACCAAGAAAAGTGTGGGAAATTGTAAAATGAATATTGTTGAGTCATTTAATTTTTCTGGTGCCCATATTCTGAACGTATGCCCCTTAATACTGTGACATACATCCATTATCTTTAATACGAAATGGGTTTAACTTTTGAACCATGAAAAGTCATTATTAAATCTATTTAGTACTTCATATGAAAAATAAAATATGTATCTCCTATGAGCTAAATTCATTTCCAATTAGATTTTTTTAACTTTTTATAAATAGAAACATTATGTCATGCTAAAATGTAGGCAAATGGGCTGTTATCTTTTCAAAAAGTAAATTTATATTTGTAATTAACGATTTCGGTAATGAAATCACAGAGCACCAATGAAATCAATTTTCTATTTTTCAGTAGGTTGGTATTTTGATTCTTCATAATTTATTTAAAAATAGTTGACGTCATATCTGGTGTAATTTTATAGCTTAAATAAATATATTAATTTTTTAAAGAAAGTCGTAAAAGTAAAACATTTCAGTAAGTTATTTTTTATGTCCTTATCTCTAAATGATTGTTAAAGTTGAAGTATACCTACTTACTATAAATTCCAGCAAATTTGATAAATACCGAAATTTCTAAGAACTAGTATTTAAATAACGTAAACATCAAATACAGTCTGAATGAAAGGTTTTGCAAGAACTGTTTATTTACCGTTTTTATGGCATTTCTAAGAATATTCATGAATAAATTATACTTCTTTAATTAATTTAGGAATTTGCCCATGCAGAATTTATCAATGATTTCAAAATGAAATGAGATTATTTTAAAAATTGTATAAGTGAAACGTATTTTAACCATTGTTTTAACAAACAACATTTTTGGATTGCTTGAAAATTTATTTATTATACAGGGTGAGCCTTTGGAATGTTTATTTACTAAAGATATAGATAAGAAATAGGTAAGGTAAAGCCGTTTGGCGAAATCAATAGATATTCGTTTAAGAGGTACAAGACGATTTATTCTTTTGTGCTGTTGGTTAATTTTGTTTTATTTATGAAAACACTTAATGAACTTTCTGTGCAGTTTTTTTTGTTCGGTCTTTATGACGCAACTTAGGAAATTTTCTAAATTTTCATTACAATAATAATTAATAATCGCTTATAACGTGCCAGTTCTATACAGGGTGTTTCTTAAGTAGAGACCAAAAATCCAGGGGCGTATTATTTGGCCAAAATTAAGGGTTTTTTGTTATACAGAATATAAATGTGGAGTTAATTTAAAAAAATCAGTTTTTAATTTCTAAACTACTTGAGATAATTTAACCAAATTCGTTGTGCATATTTAGTGTGACAGTAGGTTTGAAACAAAAAATTACCAGCTTTAGAAACTTACCAGTGGCGGAGAGGTGGGTATCATCGATCATTATTTACCAAAAAAATATATCAAACTGTATAATATTACAAATAAAATAGGTAATCATATGCGCCGTTGTTTTATCTTCACTTTTTGTTTCTTTACACGTTTTTGAATTCCAAACAGATTAACAACAAAATTGATTTATTTGATCTAGAGCATTTTTACAATACTTATTATATTACTTACTTAAAAATAACAAAATAATTAATTAACAGTGACTTTACTATGATTTATTATAACAAATGTTAGAAATGGCCATCTTTAGCCAAAATATATGCTTCAGATCTTCTTGAAATTGCAGCTTGAACACGTGCAAAAATTCCAGGAGTAGCTCTTATCACATCACAACCAGCTATAATTTGTAACCGTAAGTGCTCCTCAGATTTAATGTGAACTTTGTAAATTAATGTATTGAGATGTCCCCAAACAAAAAAATCAATAGGGTTCATATAGCGGGTGATCTGGGTGGCCAAGGTTGACCTGGTTCTTGAGTGCTTCGCCCAATCACGTTATTACCGAATCTTTCATTTAAAAATCACGAGTAGTCAAATTAAAATGTGGGGTGGCCCCGTCGTGTATAAACCACATTCTTTCTCTTAGTGCATATGGAACATCGCCAAATAGTTCAGGAAAAACGTTTTCATGAAAATGTCTGTAGGAAGCACCGGTTAAAGTTGTTGGTCAAAAAGTAAGGCCCAACAAGAATATTTCCAATAATACCCACCCATACATTTAAAGAAAATTGATGTTGAAATCGAGATTCATTCCATTATAGCATGAGGGGTGGGGTTTTCATCAGACCTAACGTGTTTATTGTGGAAGTTCATTATAGCATCTCTGGAAAAATTAGCTTCGTCGGTAAACAATATGCCAGCGCCAAAGTCAAGATTTTGTTCAGTTTTTTGCAAGATCCAGTTGCAAAATTGTGAGCGAGCAGGATAGTCTTTCAACAGTAAGGCTTGAACCTTTTGTATGTAATTCGGGTATAACTGTTAATGTTTTAGAACGGACCGAACTAATTTATGATTTACATTAAGATTTGCAACGATTTTCCTAATACTAGTTTCTGGGTCTTTTTCAATTTCGTGTAGAATAGCTTCTTCCAACTCAGGTGTTCTAACACCCAATGCTCTTCCAAGAATTGGACTTTTTTGAAATGAGCCTGACTCCGAAATACGTTGAAAAACATTTCTGAACATTTTTGGATTTGGAGTTGGATGATTTGTAAATATTTCCATATAAATTTACTTAGCCTCAGTACCATTTCCATATGCAAGGCCATATATGTAAAAACTTAATCTTTTAAAAAAATAAGCTTAATTTGACAATACTCAATATTAAATAAGATGACTTCTTCTTATTATTTTTGTTTTGCATGGCCTCCCTAAGATATGTTAAAGTAATTTAAGTAATTGTATAAAAATGCACTTGATCAAATCAATCAATTTTGTTGTTAATCAGTTTGGAATACAAAATAGTGTAAATAATCAAATAGGGAAGATAATATAATGGCGCATATGACGACTTATTTTATTTGTAATGTTGTACATGTTGATATATTTTTTTTTTGGAAAGTAAATGATCGATGATATCCACACCTCCGCCACTGGTAAGTTTTTAAAGCTGATAATTTTTTGTTTCATACTTACTGTTATATTAAATATGCACACCGAATTTGGTTAAATTACCTCAAGCGGTTTAGAAATTAAAAATTAGAAACTGATTTTTTTTTTAATTTTGATCACAGGATACGTCCCTGGATTTTTGACCTCTACTTAAGAAAACTCTCTATATGTTTGTGAATAATAATCTAGTTTAATCTTTTCCGACACAAAAAATGCAGAAAATTTTCATTAGAAAGGAAATAACTATATGCACAAAAAACTTAAAATGAAAGTAAGTTTGCTTGAGTTGTAACAGTATACTAGTAGCAGAAGAAAAAAAGGTCACATTTCACCTAGAGAATACAGCATTCCATTTTTTTAGCATCAGTCCTGGGACACCCTGTATATTTGTCTAGACCAAATTATTTTCCACTAAGCAGGTTATTTTAAATATCCTACTACCTGGTACCTACTAATTAAAAACCCATAAGGAGATCCTTTCGTAAATATTCCGAGCTCCATCGATTTTCCACCTCACCGAGTAGTCCGCTAACGCAACATCATTGCTTTCATGTGATAGAGAAACGTGCGACGTTCACGTGATAGGAGGAGTGTTATTTCGTTTAATAACATCGTTATCAGTTCAATTAACCATGATTGTTATATATTAGGGTACGCTGCGCGCGCACTGGTGTATTTTGTATAAATAACAATTTATGGAAAAGTCGTCAGGCATTGGCTAAAATCAGTTGTGCCTACTGGTTACGTTTTAGGCGTCTTGATTCGACTGCACATTGCATTTCTTCGGTTTTAAAGTCCCAAAGCGTTTTTGGTCTTTCTCAGCCGATCGAATTTCAAGATGCAGAAGCTTTCCAAGGAAGAAACTGTCGCCCTGAGGGAGAAACACATAGGGTAAGTCCGCTTCATAGATTGTAAAACATATTTTTTGTCCTTAGACGTATTTATTTTATTTTGGGATTTTTATGAATTTTGTTATTTTATTATTTGCAGTTCAGGTATCGATATGAAATTATTTTATTTTCAATATAGGCAGACTTGATTTGGGAAATTTTTAGAAACTTTTATGCACTTTCCATATATTTTATTGCTTGTTTATACAGGATGATTCACTTAAGGATGTTCACAATGGAAATATAGGAAATCAAGAGAGGTACAAACTTGGTTACATTACAAATAAATGGGTAACGGTAAACTCTTAAATGATGCATTTGGTTTTGATGTAACTTTCATAGATCCTAGAATAGATATTCTATTTTAAATAAATTTATATTTATAAATATTAGAAGCATAATAGCGATGGTTTTGTAATGCTTTAAAGCTTCGTTTTCGAGATATAAGGTGTTAAAATTAATACAAGACTTTTCAAATTTCTCAAAAATTATTTGGCCGATTTTAATAAAACTTGACACGTTTTGTAGTAACAAGTAAGGGGCTTAATTTGATCCGATTAGATTTAATTTATTTATTCCAGGGGCAGTGGTGGGACATCATAACTAGGATGAAGTAATTAAAAATACAACTTTTTGTCTTGAAATTATTTGGTATCTTACTTCCTTTTTGGAGAAAAAAAATCACTATTGCATGTCCCTGTGACAACATAATAAAAAATTAAAACTTCCTACCTACTATCAAAAACTGGGATGTGCCTGTTACTTTTTTCCGTATCAATAGCCTATTCTAGTCTTAAAAATTGTTCTAAAATTAATACTAGCAAAAAAAATATGTTTATGTCTTATGAACTATTAAAAAATGTTTTTTGTTGTCCATGGACATACAATAAAGTGATTTTTGTTTTTTCCATATTCAAGAGATAAAAATTTGCATTTTAGGTTGCTTAATGCGAAAAAAGTCAGTGGCGCTCATGTTTTTGTCAAATATATCGGTATGGGACGCCACTGGACTTAATAATTTTAATCTTGTTAGGGTTAAATTAGCCCCTTTTTTACCATAAATAACCAAATTTCAACAAAATCGGCAAAAAAATTATTAAGATTTCTACGAGAAAACGTTTATTTTTGTAAAGTTTGACACCATGTATCTTAAAAACAAAACATTACCGGACCTATGTTTATATACATTTTTTGCCTTAGAATCACTCAAAGAACCACCCCTTGAAGTTTGGCCACGTACTTAAATAACACCCTGTAGTTCAGATTTAATAATTTTATAAAACAATCGGTACAGATATGAAATTAACAACCTAACAATGGCCAATCAAGGAAGTAATAAACACTTCTCATAATTTTACGTCAGTTGTCGGGTAGTTCAATTGTTTACAATAACCAGATTATTTCATTCTTTCTGATTTTTATATGATTTCAATACAATCATTGTTGTGTCAATTACAGCTATAAGTATCTTGTTTCAGAAAATCATGTCAATTGTTTTTCCGGAAAGATCCACTTAAGATTGTAAGGGCTAAAGGCCAGTATATGTACGACGAAAAGGACGACGCATATCTTGACTGCATCAACAATGTAGCCCACGGTAAGAAACAAAATTAAATTTTTATGAAAAAAGTCCATAAAATGATTTTTCAAAAAATCGCGTCTAAAAAATCGCCGCAGGTCACGGATTGACAACTAATTGGTCTAGTAAATAGATCTAGAAGGTAGCTAAACTAAAAAGGAAAAATAATAATTCGATTCGTGTGTCTTTAAAAAAAATTCAGAGGGATCTAGATGTATACTGAAAAATGTGGCTATTGTATCTAGTGGTTAATAGAAATTAGTCAAAAATGAAGATAAGTAAGATTTGCAACATTTTAGAAATACATATTCTCATATCTCTGCCCCTTGATTGTTGAAAAAAACAGATCTGCCAATACATTTTATGAGATTACACAGTGTATGTAAATTTAATGTAAATACAGCACCTAAAAATAGCAGCGGCTTAATAAATTAATCTTATACTGATAATTGAAACATATTTATTTATTATAACAATGTTAATTATAGCAACAAGACTCCTTTCTATAATGTTGCAGCGCAAAAATTTCCGTTTGTGGAAATTTTCTTCCATTCCATTTTTATGACTCATATCTACAGTTCGAAAATGAACTTTTAATAGCTCAAGGCGAAAGTAGTTTGTTATTAAATCTCAGTTTTTATGATTATCTAAGAAAAACTGTCGAGTTATAAATAATAAATTATTTCGCAATTCCCAATTAAGGCTTAATCACTACAATAATTGAGTAACTCTGATTAATATGAAGAAAAGATAGTGAATAGTAGGAAAAAATATGTGTATATACAGCGTGTCCCTTAGTTTGACAAAGTTAATACAAGAAATTCAAATGAACTAGTCGCTTCTGATTATCTTTTTTTGTCCATCCAGTTGGTCATTGCCATCCTGCTGTGGTCCAAGCCGCCTTCGAGCAGATGGGAATCCTAAACACCAACAACCGTTTCCTCCACGACAACATCGTCTTGTGCGCCCAGAAAATCGTAGGGACCATGCCGGAGAAGCTCAAGGTTTGCTACTTTGTGAATTCTGGCTCGGAAGCCAACGACCTGGCTCTCCGCTTGGCTCAAATTTACACAGGAAATAGGGATATCATAGCATTGGAGCAGTAAGTTTTTTTTAACCTCTGTTGGGCTAATTCTGCCATTTCCAGTCCAGCAGATGCCCCCGGGCTTGGACCTTCTCTCCAATCTGTAGTTGTTAGATTTCCCGTATCGGAATTTCAGGGGTGTCCACATGGTGATAAAACATGAATAGAACACAAGTGTAGCAGACGAAATTTAACGTTAATTGAGTTCAGTCATATTTTATCAACTTGTACTCGCTATATTGTTGTTTTGTTGGGTCAACGAAACGAAATTTTGAATTATTTTTGTAAATTTTTCTTACACAATACACAAAGTATGGAATAAATTCAGTAAAAACGAAACAAATTTTTTTTGGAAAAAATCCTCGAACAGGTCGATTTTTAATTTAAAAAATACATACTTTAGCATAAAAGGCGATTTTCAACCGTCATTTGCTTTCGAGCAATGACGTCATCGAAATTTTTTTAAATAGCAACCCCCTATTTTTTTTCTTGATTCTGAAAAATCGTTTTATTGTCGATCCGACAGTATTAAAATGTTGCCGTCTCACATAGGAAAGTTTTCGAGTAAATGACGATTGAATGTTAGAAAACTTAAATTTTATTCATTAAAAAAATAACCTTCCTATGTCAAGCAAATACAATTTATTAAGTTTTCTACCTAAATTAAGTGTTCCAATTGCCACACACCACTTGACAATACGCAAGTATGTGTAGAAATTCTTCTTGCACATTATGAATTATTTCTGGGGTAACTCTATGTATTTCATCTATAATACAATTTTGCAGTTCTTCTAAATTATGTGGTCTATTAACGTACACTTTGGACTTTAAGTAGCCCCATAAGAAATAGTCCAGTGGTGTAAGATCTGGGGATCTCGCGGGCTATTCCATCGGTCCTCGTCTGCCGATCCACCTCTTAGGAAAACAATTGTCCAGAAAATCTCGAACAGGGCGCACATAGTGCGGAGGTGCACCGTCTTGCTGAAAGCATATGGTGTCATCAGGAATATCAGGGTCATTATCGTTAGGAAAAATTACAGCAAGCGCTGGAACAAGGTCATTTTGTAAAAACTCTAAATATCTTTCTCCTGTAAGGGTTCCTTCAAAGAAGAAAGGCCCTACTATTCTGTTGTCAACTATTCCAGCCCACAGATTTAATTTCTGTAGGTGTTGGGTATGTGTCTCTGCCATCCAATGAAGATTTTCCCGACTCCAATACCTGCAAATTTGACGGTTCACTGTACATTGAGACAAAACGTGGCCTCGTCTGAAAAAAGTATTTGCCGGTGTAAATCTCTATTTACTTGACATAAGTCCATCATAATTTCACAAAAGTGTAAGCGGCGGTCGGAATCGTCTTCATTGAGTTCCTGCACCAGTTGAATTTTATGGGAAGATATTTTTCCTGCCTCAGGATACGTAGCACTGTGGTCTGACTAATGTCATTGTTTAATGCAACCAATCGTGAAGTATTATGAGGATTATCTACCATACTTATTAAAATTTTCTGTTTGTGATCTTTACTAACGCTTGGACGTACAGGTTTTGGAATATCTATAACATTGCATGTTTTTCAATAAATAAATCGCAAACTTTCTGTTACGTTCTAGTCTTATCCCCGCATCCGATAAGAATTAAAATTTCAATTCTTTGTGTGACAGTAAAATGTGCCATAATACTTTAAATTCAACAATAATTTTTATATCGCTTACAATACTTAGAAAGTCGGTATGAAAGTGACACTTTGAACTTCAGGCATTTCGAAAAACTAAATTTGATAACGTTTTTGTTTTATTTTAATTGATTTGGGTTTTCTAACATTAAATCGTCATTTACTCGAAAACTTTCCTATGTAAGATGGCGACATTTTACAGCCGGATCGACAATGAAACGATGTTTCAGAATCAAGAAAAAAATAGGGGGTCGCTATGTAAACAAATGTCGATGACGTCATTACTCGAAAACAAATGACGGTTGAAAATCGCCTTTTGTGTTAAAATATGTATTTTTTAAATTAAAAATCGACCTGTTCGAGGATTTTTCCCAAAAAAAATTTGTTTCGATTTTACTGAATTTATTCCATACTTTGGGCGCGTACTGTATAATAGTTATAAATGTTTATTTACTGCTGTTTCTTTTTTTAAACGATATGTAATAATCTTCTGCTTTCCTTTTGTGAAATTTTCCATCTTTAATCAAACAATACCAATCAAGTGTTTGTTTTAACATTATACAATAAATATAAATTTTCCAATCGAAGGTCAATAAACTACATAAATAGCGTACGTGTATGTTTGAGATTTTTATCGGACAGGTACTTTGACCGTCCTCATATTTTTTTATTTTTAGAACATCTCACTACGAGTGACCTCAACAAAAAATAAAACAACAATGTACCTATAATTTCCATATTAGTTACCAATGCTAGTTCTAATGATAATTTCATGTCTGGAGTCGAATGAATCTAATTATTTTGTTTTCATTTTTTTATTACAGCTACATAAGACATTACAGATGAGGAAAGCTACTATCACCCAGTATATGACGCAAAGGCTGGCTTCTATTGGTGTTCGGACAAACCGAGCTTGTCGTCAACTTCTGCTAATAATCCAACGTTTTTTCCAGGTTGATGTGTATGTGATTTCCAAGCTTGAAGTTAACTCTTTCCATCATAATTTTAATCTTTGACAGTTTGACATTCAAGCTTGGAAAAGCGAGTGTACTTTTTGTATTATTTTTGGGGTTGGTGTTGGGTTCGGGTCAAAGGGCAGCTACCAGTATGGTATTTTTTTAGTGCTTACCACGGCCACTTGACCTCTTTGATTGATATTTCTCACTACAAATTTAACCTTCCCGGAGGAGTGGGCAAGAAGGACCATGTTCATGTGGTAAGTACCCATTACAGTTCACGCGCTCTAAAGTTAGGAAAATTAGCGAAAAACAAAAGAGAAACTTGAGTCAAAAAATTTTAATAGCTAACTTTTCTATTTAAACAAATAAGTGAGGAAACCAGTTTTTTCACTTTGCAGGAAAAAATATCAATTTTAGCGGAAAGTGACTCTCAGACAACTTGTAGGGAATAAAATTATCTACAAAATGAGACTCGTTAAATTAAAATCGGTTAATAAACAAAAAAGTTATTGCAAAAAAAAACAAGAAAAGTGCCCATTTTTTAATTTGTTTATAACTATCGCATTTATTGTTAAAATTTTATAAAACTTATGGCAAGTTGAGGGTTTTGTCATACTTTAAAAGTGTGCCAAAAGTGGGCGCTGTAGGTGCAATAGTTTTCGCACAATTCAATTTGTTTATAACGGAGGCTTCAAAAGTTATGAACTTTAAAAAGCCTCTGCACAGGCGTTAATTTTCAACCAAACATGATTCTGAAAGCGTCATTGTAATCTTAAAGACGTAATTAAGCGACCTATTAATAAATATCACCGTTTATTTAACATTAACATTCTCAGATTGTGCATTAAGAAACCGTGCGTTTTTCGCTTATAAACAATTTGAATAAAATTGTTGCTATTTATGCTACCTCATCGAAAATAGATTCAATGGATAGCTGGCAAAAAATACATTTTCTTTTTCATAAAAAAACATCCTCTACGGCCAACAGGAGCCAAGATATGAATTAAAAAAAAAATCGTAGCGCAATTGTTTATAAACATTAAGACTTGAATTTTTCGCAAAATAAAGTTTACGACGTAAACTACGATTTCCCGTGAATTGCATTGAAAAATGTGGAAAATTAACGACTCACGAGCCCTTTAATGAGAAGGTACTTGCTAAGTAAACTGTCCGGCGTGGTGGTGGGGGAAGCTCGTCCAAGCGAGTCGCGCGCGCAAGAAAAGTTCAAATTGACGCGCGTTGTAAAATTTTGCAATATCTCGGCTTCTATTCATCGTAGAAACTTATTTTTTTTTTTAAACTGGGGTAGCTCGACGAAAAAATAACAATTGGCATATTTATGAATTCGTAGAATAGCCCTGAACCCCATCTTTTATACTTAATTTTTTTTAATTTACAAAAATGTCACAAAAATTATTATTAAACGAAATATTAATTAAAATTTCAATTTCGGAATAATTTTAGTATTATTAAATAAATAAATGAAGCTATCGTTCATTTAAAAAGTTATTTTTTTACATATTAAGCCAAAGTAAACTTATTTTTTCAATATTTTGTTAGCTATTTAATTACGATTTAAATGTAAAATTAAAGAAAAAATTCGCAAATTATTTTCAACACTTTTTTACACTGTTGTGAATCACTCTGTATACATACTCATTTAGAAACAGTGTTATTGCATTTTAAATGATAGGCACATTTCTCTAAGCGATTTTTCATTGGGATTATCTGTTATTCCTCTAAAATAAGAGCCCGATAAGTTGCGCAACGTCGTGTTACTCATCATTTATTTCTCATTACCACATTTGTTATTTATTTCCAGCGATTAAAATATAAAAGCATGCGAGCAGGATTCCATCCAGCCTTTTAATCTGGAAATAACATGTGACGGGGTTATCTCTACAGTATTATTGTTGATTAATACAGTACAGTATAAACTAAAAGATAGGCTTTGAACGCACGACATAGTTAAGCCGTTTATTTTTAACGCTAATTAGTTACACTGCATGATTAATACGAATTAATAATTATATAAGTTTTAATTATTGTAGTTTTAAATTGTAATTATCAGATGTAAAACAAATTTACTTTATTGATATAAAATTATGTAGTCATTCTACGTTTGTCAGTTTGATAAAATAACGATATCGGTTTGTGGCAGTGGTGTAGTCGGAAAAAAATTATAATAATAAAGAAGGATTTAAATAAGTACATTTAATAGTGGTTATGTATATATATATA